ACTGAAGTATTATACTTTTCTTTCCTGTTTTTTGGTTTGAACAAAGAAATATGCATAACGTTTTATTTGGATGGTCATATTAATCAGGAAAAGCCTGCAGTACAGATAAAGCACGCGTGCCAATTTTTAGGTTTCTGAATCTTGCGAGATTTGATGGAGCGCATTCACGATGAATCGTAGCCGAAAAGCAAAAAGTGTGATTCCTTGGCGCCAAGATGTCGCGAAAGACGTCGCAATAGGACAGCGGAAGAGAAATTGCGTAATAAATCAACCTCGTCTTCGGTAAAGAGATCGGAGCGCATTCGAGATGAATCGGAGCCGAAAAAGCGAAAAGTATGATTACTCGGCGCCGACAGCGGAAGAGAAATTGCGTAATAAACCAACGCAACCTCAATCAATCAATCTTTTATTTGTCAACACAAAAAACAAGCATATAGAAAATTGTTACAACAAACGAAATATACTGGTCATGTTAATTGTGTGACCGGAGTCGCGAGGAACCTATAAAGGTCTTCTAGCAGCGACACCTAGCTGATGCGGGTTAGTAACTATATGAGACACATCTACTGAATACCAGTAGTTGCGGCAGTGTATACATAATTGAGGCTACTGTGCAGATTATTTAACAAAATAAATATATACCTATCACGAGAGAATGCACTGAAGAGAGAAAATTGGAGGACAACAAGAAAAAATAAAGAAAAACTTGAAGAGAATGCAAATTTGGCAAATGTAAAACTAAAAACCATGGAAAACGAACAATACGCACAAAATATTTTTAACAAATACAATTTTGAAAGCTTATATACAAATTAAAAAGAGGCAAAATTACCACTCTGATTAGGTTACAGCGAAGGATATATTGCAAACAATACCAGTACGGTAAAGCGTCCTCGTTAAAGCGATTTAGACGGCATAAAAACAACAAAACACCGAAATTTTCTCGCGGACCGGCAAAAAAGCTTCGCGGACCGGCACCGGTCCGCGGACCGGCGGTTGGGAACCAATGATTTAGTCCATCGACACCTTTAAGATAAATTCCGACTCAATTATCTCTCTACACAGGTATTAAATATTGTGATTCCATTAATTTCGTTTAACTATACAATTTCCTCATATATTTATTGCCATGGCCACCCAGTCTATCTCGAAATATACGATAATACTTGCGATATATTATGAAATAATAAATCAGAAGCATCCTCGACGTGTTGTAAGTATTTCTAGCCAGCGCTGATTGAAATCCTCTCATGTCGGCTGTAATTTATTGTCGCGACGCACGATCACGATAAAACAAAATATATGTGAAATGTTTTCAAGTAAAACGTGGACGGCGGCGCTACGATGTGTGGGCGATATTCGATATTCTTATAATACGATATTCGGAGGTCGCGTTATTAATATTAAATTCGAATTGGACATCCCTGCCTATGAGTTTTCTAATTGATCACCGAGATTACTAGCTTCAGTACACAATGCATCTATTCTAAATTAATTAACGCATCTGAATCCGAAACATCAATTTCTTATGATGTATTATATCCTTTTTTAATCTGAAATAATGTGTAATATGAATAATGCTCAAAGACTAGTGTTTTAACCTGTCTGCCCTGCACACGCGAGGCAATATTTACATAGTATCGGAATCGGCAATATCGGCCGTTTTGTAATATTGGCGTATCGGTATCGGCGTATTTGAACTGACCCATGCATGCCACACTGAAAATTATCTTGTGTATCGATAAAATTAAGCAGTTGGAGCTTTCAGACCTTGAAAACAGTCGAATCTGAGCACGATGGATTCATGTGAAACACGTAATATGCATTTATAAGCGAAAATATCCTATCCTGAGCAGCACCGATCCACAACCTCCTGCCTATGGAATCAAAACATTAGACAAATTGGTGTACTGTGCGCATTCACAAATCTTTGCGAATCAAGTGTGCCTTTCGACTAAGGAAAATTTAGCATTGAAATGGTCAATCTCAATATAAACCTGGTATCTACAGATAAAACCAATTGTTTTTTAAAAATACTTATAATTCTTGTAAAGTGTGTGATACATTTGGAACCATGGATACTGGTGGATATTCATGCGCATAGTCTTTTATATAGCATATTGTGACGTAAGGAGATTTCCCTGTCTATTACTTTTTCTAGTGTTTTCTGTTAAGCTTGCTGGCTGCTTGTTATTTGATCTTATACTGTTCGCCGTTTCCTTTGTAGGCCTATATAATGTGTAATATACTTCGTTACTTCAAACAGTAGTCTCCTTGCCTTGTCAGGACATAACATGGCGTTGTCGGCAGCCGATTTCTAAACTCTGAATGGTACGAAATCGGATATTTCTCAACTTCAGTCTGCTGCCAACAGGGTGATCTACTAATAGACAATGGCAGAAAAGGCTGAAGCACTTGCCTGGCTGGAGAAATATTTTGACCGATTGGCGCTTGACATGCGTCAACGCGAGGTGCAACATAAAAAAAGGGAACAGCAATATCTTGATGCCATAAAAGATGCCAATGAAAAAAGGCATGAAGAACTGCGCTTAATCGAGAACGTCACGCCGATATGGTATAGCGCATGGAAAGAGACCATAAAGACCTAGTAAGCGCCCTTTTCGCGGAAAGGGGCCAGTCCACGGCCTCATGTCTATCACCTAATAAACCACTTCGGCTTCACGCAGATTGTAGCCTACGTGACTTTTGCGACTGGGAGTTGTCTTGGCAAGAGTCATAAGGTTACCCTCACTGCCGCGCCCGGAACAAGTATTACATTTCAACGGATTCTTATCACCAAGAATGTTGGACACTCTAAATCACGTCATAAAACCCACTTATGAATCGGAAACTGAATTGACGGTGGACGAGTTGTTGAAACGAATACAGGATTTTTTTCGCAAACAACGAAATGTTGCACTCGATCTGGTGGATTTTGAAGAGAGAAGACAATTACCGGGTGAAACTTTTGATTCGTTTTATATGGACCTGAGAAAAAATGCCGGTAACGCGGAATTGTGTGATAGTTGTTTGGACATGCGCTTAACCACTCGTATTATTGCTGGCATAACTTCACAAGACACAAGACGTAAACTCTTATCAAGGACACCGTTTCCGGAATTACAAGATGCTGTAGATATCTGCAGGAGCGACGAATGTGCAGCTAAAAATAATGATATCCTTGAATCTAGTGTCCATAGCGAAAATCTGGCATCAGTGAGCAAGACTGCGATAAACAGTGATAATTCTGGAAAGTCACCATGCAACTATTGTGGCAGGAGCCACAGAGGAAAATGTCCAGCCAAGAATGAAACTTGCTTTAATTGTGGGAAGCAAGGGCATTTTGCACGGGTGTGCCGAAAAGCGAAAAGTTTACAGGCTAACAAGCCTCCAGAGACAAACATTATACGCTGCCGTAAATTGTCAAATCGAGTTGGAGAAAAACCTCCGCATGTCAAAGTAAATGTTTACAGCTGTAATGGTACATTTATGGGAAGCTCAATGGCTGTGCCAGACACTGGAGCCGAGGTTTGCGTTGCATCGAAGGCATGGATTAATGAACTCGGGATAAGGGAAATTCTGAAGCCTGAATGCAGTGTGGTTTTAACTGCTAATAATCAAGGTATTAAATGCACCGGTACTGTGTATGTGCGATTGTCATATTTTGGTAAAACAACGGACGCAAAAATTTTAGTATGCGATGGATGCAAGGGTGCTCTTCTGGCTTGGTTTGTATGCAGAGATTTGGGTATTATACCATCACAGTACCCTAAGCCCGTACAAGTATCTGCAATCGCTTTACCTGTGACTAGGGGTAATGACTAATGAGGGCATGTCATTGCTTGGAAATTTGCCAGACGTACCTTCATCGGATAAAATTTTACAAATAAAAAGCAAAATTATTGAACATTTCAAAGATGTGTTCAGTTCAGAAAAAATACTGAAGCCCATGGAGAGGCCTCCAATGAAAATTCATTCAACTCTTTAAACTCTGAATCCCCAGAACGACGCTACTCTCTCACCCTGACCTCCCACGGCGTCGCATCGATTCGACACGTTAAAAAATAATAATATCCCTAATTTTAAACCAATGTAACTTCTAAACCAGTGGTTCTCAACCTTTTATGGCTCGTGGCCCCCTTCCGGAGGCTTTTTGCACTCGTGGCCCCCCTGTTCATCATTCCAAAAAACTAGACGTGTTGGATTGTACTATGTATTTGCGACCTTTTATAGAATGCAAAAACACAACACAGGCAAGAAAGTCAAAGCTTTTTATTAAACAATCAATGGGAATCTTGCGCTTGGGACTGTCTGACTAGGTTTCTTATCTTAGGCACCGTCTTTGATATAGCCAGACAAAGGTCACTGTCAACATCAAGACGGTTTCTAGATTTTGTTTTGATGGTAACAAGATCAGAAAAACCAGATTCGCACAAATAGGTTGTGGCAAATTGAACTAGTAATAAAGAAGCTTTCTTAGTAGTGGGTAAGAATCCCAAAGAGATAACCAGAAACTCGAAATGTCTTCCTTATTTTTAAAAGTCAATTTCATCGCATTGAAGCTTTCAGTTCTGCCAGTTCCTCTGCTTCTTCATCTATCGGACATATTTCAGTGACGAATGGGTCTTTGTACCACGGAATATCTAACGGTTTGTCTGGAAAATACAATTCGAACTCAGCAGAAACTATCTCGAGATGTTCAATGATAATAGTTTTGATGTCTTCATGCAACTGTACTGTTTTAGTCAGCAAATACTCGTCTAACAGAGGAAACGATGCAGTTGATCCCAACTTGATTCTTTTTTGCCAAACCCCCATTCGAGCACATATTCCGGCGAGCTTGTCCTGGACGTCACTGACTGTGACATCGCGACCTTGCAAGGACAGGTTCATTTCATTAAAGCACCCAAATACATCTGCAAGATACGCAAGCATCATGACAATCTCTTCAACGTGGAAGAAAGTGTGGAAATTGTTTCCATTTTCCCGTAGAAAAGTTTCTACCTCAAACCGGAGTTCATACAGCCGAGATAGACATTTCCCCCTTGAAAGCCATCTGACATTGGTATAAAATAGAAGACCAACATGATCATCTCCCATTTCTTTACTTGAAAGAGTCTGTGGTTTTTGGCTCTCGCACGTATGAAGTTAATCACTTTAACGGCGAAGTCCATGACTTCTAGCAAACGGGAAGGTAGAGTTTTTGTTGCAAGAGCGTACCGATGTAACGAGCAGTGAGAAGACGTTACGTGAGGCCATTCTTTCTTTACAAGCGCGACAAAGCCTGCCCTGACGCCAACCATCGCTGGGGCCCCGTCTGTGCAAACATGTTTAAAATTGCACCAGCTGAGTTCGTTAGCAATAAAAAATGCGTTTACTATAGTTTTCACATCTAATGCAGTAGTGGTGCTAGGCATGCTTTTACAGAAGAGAAACTCTTCCTTTATTTTTTCATTTTTTTCGTAACGAGCAAAAGCGATCAAGTGACTTTCCAGCGTGGTATCAGTGGATTCATCGAGTTGAAGGCTGGCTTGAAGCTTACTTTGCTTGATTTCGGAGCAAACTTGTTGGCATACATCGGCTGCCATGTCATCAATACGTCGACGGATTGTACTATTGGAAAGAGGAACTTGCTGCGTCTTTCTTTTTTCTTTGGGACCTATCAACAGTTCCACTATTTTCTCCGCACATGGCTTGATAAGATCCTCGGTAATAGTGTGCGGCTTTTTGCACTTTGCGATACGATATGCCACTTCATAGCTGCATTCAAGAGCAGGCTTTTCTTCCGGCAGAAACCCGAAATTTGTCAGTGTTGCTTCTTTGTCGAATCTGACTCGCTTGGCAGCCATTGCATCAATATCAACGTCTTTTCATGGGGATGATTTTTGTCACGGTGGTTTTGGAGTTTGGATGGACGTAATGATTCATTGCTCATTACATACGAGCAATACATGCATTGAGCACATTCTCTGTCATCTCGATTTACTTTGGTAAAGCCAAAGCCAACGTAGCTGTCGTTCCATTTTTGTATTTTGGCATTAGGAATTTACATATAGGCTTCTGCGTTTATAATACGATACCGACGGTTAACTCGCAGCCTATTGAAACTGCCCGTCCGCAGGTTATACGGCCTGCCAGCAAACTATTCCAATTAGTAAATTCCATTATGATCAAACAATCCGCGCACGAGAAAGTGAATACACCTTGTGACCGGACATAACCTATTCTGGTAATGAAACTGAGGTGAGCGGGGAATATTTATTTAAATGGAATGTATGCAAACGAAGTCGCTTTATAACCAATTATTAGCCTTGTGCCGTGGCCCCCCTCGAACTGCTTCGTGGCCCCCTTAGGGGGCCACCGGCCCTCGGTTGAGAACCACTGTTCTAAACCATTAGATATTTCCATTATTCGCTATTCATCATTCCATTATTCGCTATTTGATTAAGGTGCTAAAATAAAAATTATAACTTAAACATCTACGTCAAGAACCGAACAATGAATCCACCAAGAGAAAAAACACCTTGCAAAGCTAAGAAACCATCTGTGAAATCACCAAAAACTACCAAACATCAGGGTGATGGAGAGGAAGCTGAGGAATATGTGCCCAAGGCTGACTCACAGCAATATAACGAAATCGTGAGTGGAATATTACCTGTCATCACAAGAAACATCATCAATGCTATTACATTACAACTACCAGCAATGATAGGCCAATGTCTTGGTGAAAATCTAGAACATTCAGATAACTCGGACGTTCTCACCCCTATTACACCCAACATCCAGGATATCCTTAATGATCTGAGCCTATCCATGCGAGACATCAGAGTCGAACTATCCGAAATAAAAGATAGCCAAACGTTTCACACCAAAATGTATGACGATCTGGCTGCTAAAAATAAAACCCTGGAAAAACAAACAACCGAGAATAAAAAAAACAATTGAAAGTCTTCTAGACAGAATCTATGACCTTGAAGAAGATCTATTTTATGTGTCAGAGAAACTAGAGGATCAGGAAAGAAGAGGACGCTTAGAGAATCTTGAATTCCATGGTATTCCTGTTAAACAAAATGAGGACACTGATGAAATTGTTTGCAACATCGCAAAGATGGTTGGTGTCAACATCCAAGCCAGTGACATTTCAGTATCCTATAGAATGCCAACAGGAGGGGAAGAAACCAGAACTCCAGCTATTATCGCTAAATTTATCCATCGAAAAAACAAGATTAAAATCTTCGAAAAACGAAAAGTCCTCCGCTCAGTGAAATCAAGTGCACATTTCAGTGAACCACCTAAAATTTTCATCGCAGAGAATTTGACAGCTCTTAACAAGGACCTATACTTTAGAGCAAGGGCTGCAAAGAATAATTGTGGATATAAGTTCATTTGGACATCGAATGGGAGAGTGTATGTGAAAAAAAACGCCGACATCAAGAACTCTTTAAACATTCGATGCGAAGAAGACCTCTCTAAAATCCAATAATTAATATGTGAGTGTAACCTTTTTATGCTTTTACTAATTGATTGATACTGAACTAATGTGTTATACATGTAAAAATTTACTAGCATTAGGACAACCAGAAGTATCATGCCCATCATGTTCTAATTTAACAATTCCCCATCAGTCACCAGATCAAGTGCATTGTGCGTTTGCGAATAACAATAAAATATTATATGAAATAAATAAATGTGTTTGTGAAAACATAGAAGTGTCCAACCTAAGAACAACTAGTATGTCTATCTCAAAAAACTGTTTAATTGCATTTCATATGAATATTCGATCTCTCCAAAAAAAACATGATTCTCTAGTGAACTTTATGTGACTCTAATTTTAAACATCAGACTACCTAATTATGATTTTTTTCATAAGCCCTCCAAAACAAGTGCGGGGGGAGTGGGACTTTACGTTAAGCAAGGTTTTGTCGTCACTGAGACTTATGCATATGATTTAAACCACCCAGACTGTGAAGATTTGTGGATAAATCTTAAAATTAATTCAAATGTCACATTTACAATAGAAGTAATTTATAAGCATCCCAGAAAAGATATTCCTAAATTTACAGAAAAATTATCAAACACTTTGGAAAAATTAAATATAGAAAAAAAAAAAATTCATCATATTAGAAGATTTAAATATAAATTTACTGGGCCCAACAACAGATTTGACCACCATGAATTATATTGACATGCTGCTAGCTAATTTGTCACTGCCTTTGATTACATCACCAACTAGAGTAACTCGTTTTTCTAGTACACTTATCGATAATATCCTCACAAATGCAATAAACTATAACTTAGCAAGCTTTATGCACAGTCTCTACTCCAAATTCTGGACCGGGTCAAGATCGAGATCTAATACTCAAACGAAATATGAAAATTTTTTCTATTGACGCATATAGATCTAATCTAGAATCATCCCTAAGTCCCATCTCGAATTGTCAAATCACAAGTGATAACTTGAACATTTTATTTGAAATATTCATAGACATAATTCGTTCAATTATCGATATACATGCACCAATGAGTCCATTAAGTCGACGCGAATCGAGACTTTTTGCGAAACCTTGGCTCACAAAAGGGATTCATGTTTCCATTAAAAAGAAACGTAAAATGTATAAAACACACTTTAAAAAGGGTAACTACACACAATATAAAACTTATAGTAATTTACTTAAGACTCTTATAACTAAAGCAAAAAAGTTGTATTACTTAAATAAATTCCAACAAATTTGTGGTGACATTAAATCCACTTGGAAATTGATTGGGCATTTAGCTAACATCAAACAAGAAAAAAAAAGTTCAATCAAAGTTCTGAGAACTGACAATGGGACTAAAGTAAGTGATCCAGTGTGCATTGCCAATTACCTTAACAATTATTTTACCTCTATAGGCCCACAGCTGTCTGAAAAAATTCCACATTCTAATGACTCGTTCTTGACTAATCTAAAAAATCCAGTGAAAGAGTCCTTATTTCTTAGACCAGCAACAATCAATGAAGTATTTGGCACTATAGCAAGCCTTTCAGATGGCAAAGCAGTGGGATATGACAATATACCTAGCAAATTTTTGAAACATGCAGCTGACATAGTGTCCCCCATGCTCTGTAAGTTATTTAATGCCTCCCTAGACCATAGTATTTTCCCCAACTGTTTGAAAATTGCAAAAGTCTCACCGGTGTTCAAAGCTGGGGACAAAGAATGTGCAACCAACTATCGTCCCATTTCAGTTTTTTCAACCATGACCATAGTATTCGAAAAACTTTTACACACCAGACTAACACAATTCATAGATCGAAATAGAATCATAAATAAATCTCAATTTGGCTTTCAAAAGAAGCACTCTACCAATCATGCTATACTAGATATGATAACTTACTTTTATGACAAACTTGAAAAAAAAGAACATATCGGCGCAATATTCCTCGACCTCAAAAAGGCGTTCGATACTGTTGACCATCACATACTAGTTCGAAAGCTGAGCCATTATGGCATTCGTGGTCATGCATCAAAATTCTTCCAGAGCTATTTAAGCTCACGTCAGCAATATGTCAAGGTATGGACAAATTGCTCCACATTCTCAACTGTGCAATGCGGAATTCCACAGGGCACAATAATTGGCCCATTACTGTTCGTATTATTCGTCAACGATCTTCCTCATGCCACCAAATTATTGGTCAAACTCTTCGCTGACGATACCGGATTATTCGGTAGTTCAGTTTCACCAAATAACTTGGAAATGCACATGAACTCTGAAATGCAAAAAATTGCAACTTGGATGACTATCAATAAACTAACTTTAAATATTGCAAAATCCAAATCCCTTTTCATTAACTCCAATAGAAATGACAGAAATAGGTTCTTGTTCCAAATTTCCATTAATGGCATTTTACTTGATAATGTGGACTCCTACAAATACTTGGGCATACACATTGATAATCGGTTAAAATGGGCAACACACATCAACTACATCGCGGGCAAGCTAGGTAGAACAGCAGGTATATTATTTAAACTTAAAAAGTTTCTCACCACATCGGCTTTGCAATTAGTTTATTTCTCACTCTTTTAGTCATATCTTCAGTATGGTATTGTAGCATGGGGAAGCGCATCCTCCAACTTACTGCGCAGATTGGAGGTGTTGCAAAATAAATCGATCAGAGCTATAGGTGATGCACCCTTACGATCCAGACTTGACCCCTTGTACCATAAATTTAAAATAATGAAACATTGCCACGTCCATGAATTCGAGGTATTGAAACTTATCCACCAGTACTTTGACGGCAAACTTCCAAGAGCATTTGTAGGTTATTTCCAGGGATGGCCATTTCCGAATACTAAACTATTCCGAATACATTCTAAAATAATGTTTTCGAATCTGGAATTCCGAATACATTCTAAAATCGAAAATAACACATTTTTGTTTAGTTCATTAAAACCCAGTAAATTAGGAAATAAGCTTCAATAAAAATATCAGAATAAAGCCGCAAACCAACAATATATGTACACAAGATAATTAATAGTTTATAGCTATCAATAAAAAATAATAGCAACTTGTGACACAGTCAGTTTATTAAAATTATTCACTTTGTACAAATGACCATATGAAAAGATAGCCAAGGAGTTGTCTGACGCTTTCTATCATTGGTACCATGATATTATGATAATAGTCAAGTCTGTTGACAAAAATACTACTTGTATTCAGATAATTGTGTATATTTTCTGAGAGTAATAAAATTTATTGGCAATAGAGGCAACTGAAACAAGCAGCAACAATCGAAAATCCATTATGCCTTCAGAAAATCTTATATTTAAGCATAGAGTATTCTACTACCTACCAGTATATTTGTATATTA